GACTTATTAAACATCAAAATTAAAGCATCGAATGATGATGAAGAAAAGAATAAACTTACAGAAGAACACGATGTCCATTTAAGACTAGCATAATCAGCTAGGAAGTCACTAAAACAAGATCAGGAACAAATATCACGCAATTCAGATTATTATTTCGCTTTTTCGTTCGACTTGCAAAAAGCATTACCTTATCCAAAATTGACTACTTCAGTAGCATATTATAAACGCAATATGTACGTTCTAAATTTGGGTATTCACAAGTTTCATAACGATAATGTTCACATGTACGTTTGGGATGAAACTATTGCATCAAGAGGTGCTCAAGAAATAGCTTCATGCATCCTAAAACATGTCCAAAATTTAAGAAGTGAAAGACACATTATAGCTTACAGTGACATGTGTGCAGGGCAAAATAGAAACATTAAAGTAGCTTTAATGTGGCTAAAAATTGTCCAAACTGTTGAAAATAATGTGGAAATCATAGATCACAAATTTTTAATATCAGGACATTCGTTTTTACCAAATGATAGAGATTTTGGCGTGGTAGAAATGGCATTAAAAAAAAATAATTTACTGTTTGTCCCCCGAGATTATTACATTATCAAAAAGTGTCGGAAAGGTAATAACTTTATTGTACATGAAATGAGACAAGAAGATTTTGTATCAACAAAATTATTAGAAGACGCAATTTTTAAAAGAGTAAAGAATTCTAACGGAGAATCAATAAACTGGTTAAAAATATGTTGGATGCGTTTTGTCAGAAATGAACCGTATAAAATTTTCTATAAGACATCAATGAATGAGAACGAAAATTTTAAAGTCCTGAATTTATTACCACGTCGGGGTAGACCAAGAAAGTTCGAAAATATTGTATTGACACCACTGTATAAAAATATCAGACAAATTACAACAGCAAAATTCAAGGACATAATTGACCTATTACGATATGTATACCACCGGAATATCATGATTTCTTCAAATCCCTTTCACACACACAAAATGTAGATGAGTAGTAAATTGTTTTGTAATTTATGTTTGTATGTTGTAATTTATGTTTGTAATTTTGTACGTTATGTAGTTAAAAAATGTTTTGAATCGCATAAATTATGTTTTTGAAGTGTTGTAAAGATATGTAAAATAAAATGAGTATTGTTTTTTTCAATTTGAAGCATCTTAAATTATGTTGAATGGACTTGGGCTCCTTCAAATTTTATAACGAATCTGGTTGTTAATTTTGAAAGTGGCCTCACTCCATTCTTGGTAAGAAAACGCATATTATTCACTTAATAATTGCCATTATTTTAATAGGAACTATAAATTTAACACCTTTAGATACACTTAAGCAGTATGATTCATTAGTATCCTGTACGTATTAGTATCCTGTACGTATATTTTTAATTGCATTGAAACACAAACCCTTAAATATCTCAATTTAAGTATAAATGGACTTAGGCCACTTTCAAAATAAACGGCTCATATGTACTAATTATTTCTATGTACAATAGCTTAGAAGCTATTGTACATAGAAATCTATGTACAATAGCTTCTGTATCTGTTCTATGTACAATAGCTTAAAAGCTATTCTACATAGAACAAAATTATAAATAATTTTATTGTATCTTATTTAGGTAGCTACGAAGAAGGAATACAAAAAATAAGTTTAGCGGAATATACATCTAATATTGATGAAGATATATCGGAGGACGAATTAAGAGAACGTGAAAAAAAGAGAAGACGTAAAAAGGCCAAAAAATATGTGCCATCTTCTTCTGAAGATTTATGTTCATTTAAAGAAAATTGTGCTACACTAGAAAAAACGTTGCCTGCATTTCCTCAGAAACAAAATTTTGTGTCGAATGACAAAGAATTATTGATTACATCTACACAGGGTGCTAGAAATATATTATGTGAAAACACATTATTTAATACTATAAACAGAAATGGTAAGTCCTAACTACATTTCATTAACATTATATGATATTCCTGAAAGAATATTAATACGTAGTTATGTTTTAGATGTTAATGATAGCAGTGAAATTGCTATAAATAGTAGTATACCTCTTAAAAAAGCTGCTACCTCATATACCGAAAATGAAAATCCCTCATGGTATGTGGTATGTGGAAAATATACTCATGGTATTTATAATGTTATATATATATATTTTATATACTAAAGAAGTAATGCATTATAAAAACGTATTTGTGTGCATTGCATGATATACAATAGTAAACATTGTTGTAATATTTCATAACCAGTAACTAAATAAAATAATAATGTGTAGAATTTAAAAAATTAGTGTTAGGAAAATTGAACAAAATAATATACAAATTGCATGCTATTGAGGATAAATGCGAAATATTTCAAGAAAAAATACAACATTTGAATCAACCTAACGTTCTACAAAACAGTGACATTCATTTTCCGATTTCTACATTAGCGCAATTATTGCTATAACATTGCTTGAAGAACAATTGCAAGATATGAGATTCAAGGAAAACATGGTATGATTATATTAAAATTTATTTATAATGTCATTGTACATAATATCTTAGTATATTGAATCTGTATATAGTCTATATTATAATATAGTTATTTGTTAATTTGGGAATGTTATTTCAGCTTGCCACATTTCAACTCGTTAGTGGAAATAATGTACATATCATGATGAGAAATATATTTAAATTAGCCATAACTGACAATTTAGCTACACAATTCAGTTGGACTGGAAAGAAAACTAAACGATGTTTCAAGGACTTAAGACTGTCAAAAAGACTAAAGACTGTCAAAAGTCATAATACGTAAGTATTTTTAAATTTCCATAATTTTCAATTCAAGTAACAAGATTTTTGTTTGCGATCCGTCCAAGGCGCCGCTCTTTGTGTCGACAAAATCGAGGATTCTCGATATCACGAGACATCCTGCGTGACTCGCACGTGAGAACGCCGTGCATGTTTGCTATCGAGCACCGCGTTGTTATTGTCACGTTTGGTCCGCATGTGACCGCCAAATATGGTCACGTTTTCGACAAGAGCGGTTATCAATCTTCTCCGAGCGACGGAAAAACTAAAAACAATGTAAGATCGAAGTGACGAACGTTTTTCGGCTCCTCGCTTCGAACAGAATCTTTCTTCAAGCGAAACCGCTCGCAAGTATTTTTACAACTCGTTCCGCTCCGTTGTTCGTTCGGTTATCGAATTCGCTGCCCGACCGCTCCGGTCGGACCTCATCAGACGAACTACGAGTGCGGCCTCAACGCATTGCGATTCGAGCGGACGCGCTTCATACGATCAATCGACCAGAATTGTCAAAGTTTATTTTGTATTATTTTATATAATAAAACTGGGATCGTGTTCGAGTGGTGCTCGCGCTTGAACTGGCGAGCATTGGCCTCCCAGCGCCTCGACGAACGTCGACGCTTATTCGGAAGGAAACGGAGGACCGATCCCACGAGAAACCAAAGCGACGATCATCTTCCTTTCACGACCAACCCCGCGCTCATTGCTGAGCCGTCCCGGCCTCTTGTTCGCTTCGCCAAGGAGCGAACAAAATATTGCTGGTCCTTCGAGCCGGATCGGGGAATAGAGGAAGAGAGCACATCGAGAAGCCGAGTTCCGCCAGTCTGCATCCATGGAACGACAAGGACGATTACAGCATCAATTAAACGCCGCTCTCGACAACTTCAAGAAGCTAGGACGCAACAAATGGACGCCTGCGGTCACACGATCCAGGATCCAAACACTGAAGGAAATCTGGCTGCAGTTCCTCGATGGGCACGCCGTCCTGGAAAAGACGATCCCGCCGGACCGCCGGGCGCAGATCGTTTACTTCACCGACGACGTATTTGACGCTACCGAGGAGAAGTACAACATCACGCTGGATTACATGGCTGAGGTATTGGAGGAGCTGGAACCCCCTGTAAGCCCGAACCAATCTATTAACGCATCGTATGCTCGGCACGCGCCGTCTGCGTTGTCTCAAGCGCATCTGCCGCCGATTCAGCTCGCGCCGTTCGACGGGACGCTGACGGACTGGGAACCATTCCGCGATCGATTTTCCGCGATCATCATCGAAAATAAAGAATTAAATGATTTCTCGCGCATGCATTATCTGTCGTCTTGCTTGCGGGGTCGCGCGTCGGATTGCATAGCGAATCTCACGATCGCCGCCGATAACTTCAAAATTGCTTGGGACGCAGTAAAGGCACGCTATGACAACAAGCGACGGTTGATTTCCGTTCACATGTCAACCTTGTTGAGTCTGCCGACGCTCTCGCGCGAGTCCGTTTCTGACCTCCAGTCACTTCGCGGACAAATCACCGTGACTGTAGCCGCGCTGAGAAATCTGCAGCGATCGAACGAGCAATTCTCGTGCATATTGGCTCGCGAGGCTTGGATCCGGTCACGCGAAAGGCGTGGAACTTGCGAACCACCGAAAATTCTGACTCGCCGACCTTCGACGAATTCGAACGGTTTCTCGCCTCGCGCATCCGGGCGCTCGAGGAATTCTCGAGCGGAGATAAAACTCAAGCGAGCGCTAAAGCCGTTCCGATATCGCGCGTTCAACCGATGCGCCGGCCGCGAAATCGCGCTGCCCGCTGTGTAAGGCTGGTCATTACTTCAGTGCGTGTCCGATCTTTGTCCGCGGGAGCTCGCAGCAGCGACGAGAGCTAGTAAAGATGCACCGGCGATGCTTCAATTGTCTCAGCGCTAATCACGCCGCGCATGAGTGCAAAAGTAAATATTCGTGCCGCACATGTTCGCAACGACATCATTCGCTGCTTCACGCTGCTGCGGATTCCAGTGGCGGCACTGCCGAATCGCACGCTGCGACGGAGGTGCGTGAGTCGTCCGCCGGATCTCGAGCGGAGGTTCACGCGTTGCTCGCTTCGAACAACCGGACTCGGTCCGCTCGCGTTCTCTTGGCCACTGCGTGGGTGACGGTCCGGGCGTCGTGCGGTCGATCGGTGACCGTTCGCGCTCTGCTCGATCAGGGATCCGAGATGACTTTTGCTTCCGAGAAGCTTGCTAAAGCGTTGCGCGCGAAAAGACTCCGTCGTCCGGTCGCCGTCTCCGCTGTGGGATGCGTCAACGCGGGGACTTTCCGGCATGAGATCGAGATCATCGTCTCGCCCCGAGGAGCGGAAACTCCGGCGTTGCTCACCGCCGCGCTAATATTGCGATCGTTCACGACGTATGCTCCGCATTGCGAAGCGGATGCGTCGTGCTTGACGCATCTCGCGGATCTGCGCTGGGCCGATCCGAATCCGCTCAGCTCGGATCCAATCGATTTGATCATCGGGGCGGATCTCTATAGCGATATTGTTCGCGAGGGCCTTCGCCGAGGAGGCGACGGTCAACTCATGGCGCAGAACTCGGTGTTCGGGTGGTTTATATCAGGTCCGATCACCCGGGCTTCTGCGCCTAGGGTGCGGGCGTGCGCGCTCGCTACTCAGGCGTCGAGCGTAGTAATTTCGGCGCATCATTGTAAGGCCGAGATTTCACTCGAGGATGAAATGAGGAGATTTTGGGAAGTCGAGGAGGTTCCGCGAGCCGTCGAGCGGACGCCCGATGACGAGCGGTGCGAGAGACACTTCGTCTCGACGCATTCGCGAACGGTGGAAGGTCGATACGTCGTCCGCTTGCCGTTTCGCAGCGGACCGCCGATCGATATCGGATCCTCGCGCTCGCGCGCCGTGCGATGCCTTGCCGCACTTACGCGTCGTTTACAAACAAAGCCGGAACAAAGACGAGCATATGACGAGTTTTTGCGCGAATACGAACTCAGCGGACACATGAGACGCGCACCGGAGATTTCAGACGCGTCTTCGCAAGTCGCATACATACCGCATCACCCAGTCTTTCGTTCTCATAGCGCCACGACAAAATTGCGTGTAGTTTTTAACGCATCGAGTCCGACGACTAACGGCTCGAGTTTAAACGACCATTTGATCGCCGGGCCAAAGCTGCAGACCGACTTATCGTCCGTACTGCTGCGATGGCGTAATTTCAAATACGCGTGTTCGGCCGACATCGAAAAAATGTATCGACAAATTCAGCTCGATCTCCGCGATGTCGACTATCAGAGGATCTTGTGGCACCCGGCGCCGGATGACGAGCCGCGTGAATATCAATTAATGACCGTGACTTACGGCATGTCCTGTGCTCCGTTTCTTGCGTTGCGAGTCCTTCAGCAATTGAGGATTGATGACGGAGGCGATTTCCCTCTCGCCGCTCCGCTCTTGAAAAACAACATTTATGTCGACGATGTACTATTCGGGAGCGACGACGTCGGGCAGACGATCGAAATCCGGAATCAGCTCACAGCATTGCTACGGCGAGGCGGCTTCGAACTTCGTAAATGGTCCGGGAATTCAGCCGCACTTCTCGCAGACCTCGATGAGGCGAATCATGGACTCGCGTGCACCAGATCACTCGCGATTGATGAGAGCGTAAAGATTCTCGGGATCACTTGGACGCCCGCGGGAGACAATTTTCAAATCAGCGTGTCGTTGCCAGCTTGCGTCCCCGAGAGCAAGCGCTCCATTTTATCGACTATCGCCAAACTGTACGATCCACTCGGATGGGTCACTCCGATCACGATCAGCGCCAAAATCTTTATGCAGCACTTGTGGCGACGGCAACTTGAATGGGACGACCCGATTCCCGAGATGCTGGCGTCGCGCTGGCGGGCAATATTCTCGAATCTATCCGCCTTGGATGGACTACGCATTCCGCGATGGACCGGATTCGGGCGCGACATTCGACGCACGGAGCTGCATGGATTCGCGGACGCGTCTAACTCCGCGTACTCTGCCGTTGTTTATTTGCGACTAACAACGCACTCAGGTCAAGTGATCATCACATTGCTCACCGGCAAATCACGCGTCGCTCCATTGCAGCCAATGAGCATCCCGCGTCTCGAACTTTCGGCCGCCGTGCTCCTCTCGCGTCTCGTCGAATTCGTGCGGACGGCAGGAGGTTACGACAATGCAACATGCTGCTGTTGGTCTGACTCGACGGTCGTGTTGTCGTGGCTGGCGGCGCACCCATCACGATGGAGGACCTTCGTCGCGAATCGGGTGGCGGAGGTGCACGCGCGCCTCCCGCGCGTTCAATGGCGGCATGTTCCGACGGCCGACAATCCCGCTGATTGCGCGTCGCGCGGGTTGCTCGGCCTGGAAATTCTCAAGCACGATCTCTGGTGGCGAGGCCCGTCGTGGTTGACGTCGCCGCCAAACGCTTGGCCATCCTTCGGGGATGCCTCGGCTGCGGAGGCGCTGAGCGAGGAAAGGGTCGTGACGCACCTCGCCACTGAACCCGCATCGCTCAACTCGCTGCTCCTCGAGTGCTATTCTTCGTGGCCAAAGTTGGTTCGCGTTACCGCGTACATCATGCGCTTTATCGCGCGATGTCGTCGCCGTCTTACGGGAGATTCATCCGGTGAGCCGGCGGGCCCGGGCGTCACGGCGGGCGAGTGTTCGGGGGCGCGTACGCGATTATTGAAGCAGATCCAAGCTGCGTTGTTGCCAAAGGAACTGCACAGGCTCGCGAATCGCTTGGAATTACCGTCGAAGAGCTCGATTCTCGCGCTTCGACCGTTTCTCGATGAGGAGGGTCTTCTCCGCGTCGGCGGTCGGATATCGCGCGCTCCCCTGCCTTGGACTCGGCGTCATCCGATTCTGCTCGCGTCGCATCGTATCACGAAACAGATCGTCGATCATGCTCACGTACGTGGGCTACACGCCGGCGTGCAGCTAACCCTGAGCATCGTTCGGCGCGACTTTTGGGTGATTCGGGGTCGGGGCGTTGTGCGGGAGCAAATACACCGCTGCGTGGTGTGCGCTCGCGAGCGCGCCGCCGTGCCATCCCAGATTATGGCGGACCTCCCACGTGTCCGAGTCTCAGCTCCGGCTCGCTGTTTCGCACATTGCGGCGTCGATTATGCCGGGCCAGTTCTCGTGCGTGCCTCTGCAGGACGAGGTATAGCGACGCGGAAGGCATACATCGCTCTATTCATATGTTTAGCCTCTCGCGCCGTGCACCTGGAGCTCGTATGCGATTACTCGACTCGGGCATTTTTGAAAGCGTTTTCTCGGTTCGCCGCTCGTCGGGGAATACCCAACACCGTTTACTCGGATAACGGCACCAATTTCGTCGGAGCCGATCGTGAGCTGACCGTGGCCTATCGGGCAGCGCTCCGCGACCCGAACTTTCTAAGTTCCACCGCGCTCGACGGAGTCAACTGGAGATTCATCCCTCCAGCCGCGCCACATTTCGGGGGGTTGTGGGAGGCCGGCATTAAGAGCGTCAAGCACCACGTGCGTAGCGTACTGCGGAGCTACACTCTGACCTTCGAGGAGTACGCTACTCTGCTCTGTCGGATTGAGGCGTGTCTTAACTCAAGACCGATCGCGCCGATTTCCGACTCGCTCGATGACTACGAGCCGCTCACGCCCGGTCATCTGCTCGTCGGGTTCGACCTCGGTCTGCCTCCGTCGCCGTCGACTCTCCACATATCGGAGAACCGGTTGACCCGGTGGCAACTCGTGCGGCAGCTGACCGAGCGTTTTTGGCGGGTGTGGTATCACGACTATGTGAACACTCTACAACAACGAGGAAAATGGAGGAAGGTGCAGCCGTCTATCCAGGTCGGAAAAATGGTCTTGATCCGCAATACCACCTTGCCGCCGTGCAAGTGGGAGTTGGGGCGAGTGACGCAGTGTCACCCCGGTCCCGACGGGCTCACTCGGGTGGTTACCGTCCGCACCGCCAACTCCACCCTTCAAAGGCCTATCGTAAAGATTTGCCTGCTGCCGGTCCACTGCGAGACCGAGTAGGGACCAACCGAATTCGAAACAAGCGTTTCAAGGTGGGCGGAATGTTTGCGATCCGTCCAAGGCGCCGCTCTTTGTGTCGACAAAATCGAGGATTCTCGATATCACGAGACATCCTGCGTGACTCGCACGTGAGAACGCCGTGCATGTTTGCTATCGAGCACCGCGTTGTTATTGTCACGTTTGGTCCGCATGTGACCGCCAAATATGGTCACGTTTTCGACAAGAGCGGTTATCAATCTTCTCCGAGCGACGGAAAAACTAAAAACAATGTAAGATCGAAGTGACGAACGTTTTTCGGCTCCTCGCTTCGAACAGAATCTTTCTTCAAGCGAAACCGCTCGCAAGTATTTTTACAACTCGTTCCGCTCCGTTGTTCGTTCGGTTATCGAATTCGCTGCCCGACCGCTCCGGTCGGACCTCATCAGACGAACTACGAGTGCGGCCTCAACGCATTGCGATTCGAGCGGACGCGCTTCATACGATCAATCGACCAGAATTGTCAAAGTTTATTTTGTATTATTTTATATAATAAAACTGGGATCGTGTTCGAGTGGTGCTCGCGCTTGAACTGGCGAGCATTGGCCTCCCAGCGCCTCGACGAACGTCGACGCTTATTCGGAAGGAAACGGAGGACCGATCCCACGAGAAACCAAAGCGACGATCATCTTCCTTTCACGACCAACCCCGCGCTCATTGCTGAGCCGTCCCGGCCTCTTGTTCGCTTCGCCAAGGAGCGAACAATTTTTTCAAAATATACATATATAATATATAAAGATATGACCCCCGAAAAAAGTAAATTGATAATTCGTAAGTAGTAGGTGCTAAGGAAACATTGCTGAAACTAAAATTTTAAACTTCTGAAAGTCACCTTTTATTTTTAAATAAAATCGTACATTTTATTCTTAACATTGATTTTTTAAGCCATTCATTATACATTTCTCGATGACAACGATGCGCGAGAGGAAGGATAGGAAGTCGCTGCATAGATTGTCATGATAACGGTTTATTATGGAAAACGAAAAACGCGTAATGAGCCATGCTACGGAGCTCTTAAGCTAAGCTAGCTTTAGCAGCGCAACTTGCTGTCACCGTTCATTGGTTTAGACATTTTATTTAATAACTAAAAAATTATAGTGAATAGCCCAAAATTTTATTAGACTTTCTTGCAGCTCCCCAACCCTTCTAGAGTCCCTGACCCCCTACACTGAGCGGTAACGCGACTCGTATTGACTCGCGCGGCGTCAAGACGCCAAAACGTCATCGCGACAGTCAGTGCGAGACGCGTTATCGCTCAGCTTCGACGCAAACAGCTCACTGCGGAGCGTCTATAGACCGCGATGGGCGTGACAAACGTCAAACTTTACGCGGTTACTAAAAAGCTATACGAGATATCGTTAAATGGAAAAGGATTTCATCGTTCCTCTCGCTTAGCTCTACGCCCCTATGGAGTTGGTGTGTTATAATTATGGAACACTTTGTATATTGCTCTAATTCTCATATTTAATTACCAAATGTCCTTGAAATCTCTTACAACAATTACTTTGTCAATTGTTTCCTAACACATACTGTTTACAATTTATCCAGACATTTTCTTTGAAATTTTTTTTTGTATGTATATTCTCTTTGACTAATATGTCAAAATTATATGTTGAATATATTATTTTTATATATTTTAGAAGCTGTTCGTATGTCATTTAAAGACATGACGGAAAACGAATTTGCAGAATATGTATCCAAATGGTTGGCACAAGCTGGGGTAAGAATTCAAAGACAGAAACCTAAAGAAACGGATTCAGTGCAATAAATTTGTGTACCTATGCACAATACTGTGATATATAAACAATTTACGCGCTTGTGTTTATATACAGGGTGGTTGATAGCTGATCATGCAGACGAAAGTTGGAGATAGATTGAGTGTAGCCGAGAAGAAAAGTCATGTACCATAATGTCAAATTGGCAACAGTTACCGAGTTATTAATTAAAACATGTGAGCCAACGAGCGCGTAGAGAGCGGAGGGCGACCGCAGTAAGCACGTAGACATTTGATACAGGCGGAGTCAGCGAGTGTCGATAGGCGAGCGCGCGCGGCGAGGGGCAACGTAAGCGACAAGAGGCGATCGCGCGCGACGAGGAGCGAGCGAGCTTTTTCTTTATAGCTTTTTCCTTATAGCTCGCTCGCTCCTCGTCGTTCGCGCTCGCTCGCTCTTCGTCGTGCTCGCTCGTCTCTTATTACTTGCGCTCGCTCGCTCCTCGTCGTTCGCGCTCGCTCGCTCCTCGTCGTGCGCGCTCGCCTCTTGTCGTTTACGTTGCCCCTCGCCGCGCGCGCTCGCCTATCGACACTCGCTGACTCCGCCTGTATCAAATGTCTACGTGCTTACTGCGGTCGCCCTCCGCTCTTTACGCGCTCGTTGGCTCACATGTTTTAATTAATAACTCGGTAACTGTTGCCAATTTGACATTATGGTACATGACTTTTCTTCTCGACTACACTCAATCTATCTCCAACTTTCGTCTGCATGATCAGCTATCAACCACCCTGTATATGTCGCGGTTCTAGAGGCTACTTTTAATTATTCCGAGGGATATTCAGGTACGAGAAGATCAGGTGTTGGGGAAGCACATGGTGAGGGAGAAGATCGACGCGAGGATGCCTCCGAGGGAGAGGGAGAATAAATAGGAATAAGGCCACGGAGTAAGGCCGCGTGGAAGCCACGCGTACCCCCTCGTAGAGGTGATGTTGGAGGGGAAGGTGTCGGGGATGGGCTCCAAAATAAAGGAGAACCTATAGGAGATCGGTCTTCGGTAGGACTCAGGGATGTTGGGGAGTAAGATATAGGAGGAATTCCGGGGGGAGAATCGGGAAGGAACAACAGATGAGAACGTGCAAATCTTGAAACTTCTGATTCGTTATGGCGAACAATGTAGTCCGGGCGATCTTGTAATGCGAGTTCTAATGAGGTGACTTCAAAATGTTCGCGGTTTTCGTACTTTTCTGAGGTAGTTGGGTCCGTTTGAACTTGATAACATTGAGCCACTGCAATCGGATTCCACGATTAAGCAGACATGCCAAGGGGGATAGAGAAAGGGAGGAAAAGGAAAGAAAAACGAGAGAGAGAAGAAAGATAAGAGAAGAGAGCAGGTAGTGAGGAAAAAAAACAATAAATGAGAAAACAAAACAAAAAGAAAGGCTTACTGTTGCCGTATGGTGGTTCCCTTTGGGTAAAGGATAACAGCCTGTTGTCAGCCTCGACTCCGGATATCGTATGATGACAGCCTTAGGTTCTGGACAGCGTCCGTATTTTCGGGGTTGGTGTGAAGACTGGTTACCGTTGGTGATGATAATGAGTCAACCGAGCCAATTTATAGAGAACCGAATGAGTAAAAAATGTAACTTAGTATATCCACTAGACACTAAGTGATTTAAGAGGAGCTTCTTTCTTGGCTGCTGGCTCGGCGAGAAGTGGCTGAGACTTTTGACTTTTCTCAAAAAGTCAGCTCGGTTGAGGGAGTGGGGTCTAAATTGTTATGCCCAAATATGGTCATAGGACTGTGCTTCAAATGTTTTTAGAGGTTGAGTCAAGAGCGTAAGATAAACTTTTTTTTTTAGGAGATAGGGAGCATGTGGCATTAAGAGGATTTAAATAGTTTACAAAATGTGGCAGCTATCTTAAGAAGGAAATGTCGATATTTTTTAAGTAGGATGTCGCGGTATTGTTAACGTAGACTGAGCGCGTGGAAACAAGATCGGAGTTGGTTTGGAGATTGGAATTTTCAAAGATTCTAGGGTCATCGCGTCGTGTGATAACATATAATAATAATAATAATAAATTCAATTTTCCTTGTTTATAAAAGAGGTCTAGAATGCGCGAAGTCCGCAGGACGTAACAAGGGAAAGATAAAATGTGTAAGGTGTATAAAGACATTACAAAATTACAATATGTATGGAGTTTTTTATTAATAAATATGCCATTTATTTTGTTTATTACATATTTTATATAATTTTCTATTTTTCCTTTGAATATTTTTGTTTGTAATTTCTTTATTTATTTTGCGTAAACGAATATATGTCCTAGTACGCACTAAACAAGCAACTTCTCTTGCAAAATTGTTATTGGTTTTTTCACATACAATGTCCGTTAATGTGTCCAAAATAAATGCTTCTTTATTAAAAGTGTCACTATGAAATAATTGAAATTCTCGTTCCACAATATTAGAAGCTTCTTAAAAATCTTCTGAAGGATAAATACAATTTCCCCTGGATATGAAGGAAACTCAAAAATTGGATTGTGCATTTGGAAGAGTTTTTGTAGAGCACCCTAACTCTGTAAATTGGTTTCTACAGGGTGTTATAAAAGTCCGGGAAGAGCTGAATAACTCGAAAAATATGTCCTAGAAAAATGCGAAGTACTGGATTTTTATGATTTTTTCCTGGCTATCTGACGGTGACCTTGGATTTGACCTTGACAATGACCTTGAAGGTTATGTTAAGGTTAGGTCAATTTTTTTAAATAGGACACCATACTTTTGACCCTAGAAATGAAAAGAGCGGAAAATTTTACGTTCGGATATGACCTCGAACACTGCCAACTTTGACCTCTGAAGGTCACATAAAGGTCTAAGCTTGTTTTAGGCTGAAAACGCGAATATCTTCGAAAATGCACCTGCTAGGGAGCAATGTTACGCATAAGAATAAGGATGTAGAGGTCAACGAGGGAACCGAATCCGACGTCGGATTTTACAAATTCAAGATGACCGATCCAAAATGGCGCCCGATATTGAGGAATTACCAACAATCGGAGTGTGACCTCGTACGTAACGTAAAATCTCACTCTTCACATTATGGAGGGGGTAAAAGTATGTGTTTCCAGCCTAAAAAAAATAATTGATATGACTGACACATAACCTTAATAACAAGGTCAAGGTTGAAAACGTCATATCCGAACGTAAAATTTTTCAATCTTGAGACTTTTAGGTCAAAAGTATGGATTTTCAGTCCTAAAAAAGTCCGGTTTGACCTTAATAATAATATTAACTCATGACCTTGAGAATAAGGGCAAGGTCACGGCGGAATATGTCCGTCGTTGACCGTCCGACTTCTACATTCTTATTCATATGCGTAACATTGCTCCCTAACAGGTGCATTTTCGAAGATATTCGCGTTTTCAGCCTAAAACAAGCTTAGACCTTTATGTAACCTTCAGAGGTCAGATTTGGCAGTGTTCAAGGTCATATCAGAACGTAAAATTTTCCGCTCTTTTCATTTCTGAGGTCAAAAGTATGAGGTCACATTTAAAAAATTGACCTGACCTTGAAATGACCTTCAATGTCATTGTCAAGATCAAATCCAAGGTCAGATAGCCAGGAAAAAATCATAAAAACCCAGTAGTTCGCATTTTTCTAGGACTCATATTTTTCGAGTTATTCTGCTCTTCCCGGACTTTTATAACACCCTGTATATCTATTGGGTTAAGTAAAAAGTTTTGAGCGTTTTCCGCTAGATGGCTTTAGTGAGGTCATATCTCACGATGTATACGTCGCATCTGGTCATTCTATACTGCGACTTAAAGGTGACATAACGCTTTAAAAAAAGTTCTTTGACAGTTTTGTGTTTGGTGAAGCCAGTTGTGTGTTAGAGCATTCCAAAATGAAGATAAAAAAAGAGAAAATTCGATACATTCTTCAGTACCACTACGACCAAAGGGAAAAAGCGGAGCAAGCGGCCAAAAAAATTTGTGCTGTTTATGAACCCAATACAGTATCGAATGTAACAGCAAAGCGGCAGTGGTTCCAACGATTCCGTTCTGGTAATATGAACGTCGAAGATGAGACACACTCTGGTAGGCCAATCGTCGGAAATGTCGATAAAATCATGGAAATCGTCGAGTCGGACCGGCATGCGAGCACTTATTCCATTGCCCAGGAACTGAAGATTAGCCAGAAAACCGTTTGGAACCATTTGCATAAGGCTGGTCTCAAAAAGAAGCTCGATGTATGGGTGCCACATGAATTGACGCAAAAGAACCTTTTGGACCGAATTCATGCCTGCGATTCTTTGCTGAAGCGTAATGAAATCGACCCTTTTTTGAAGCGGATGGTGACTGGCGATGAAAAATGGGTCACATACGAGAACAACGGGCAAAAGAGATCGTGGTCCAAGCGCGGTGAGCCGGTCAGAAACGATCGCCAAGCCTAGATTAACGGCCAAGAAGGTTTTACTGTGCGTTTGGTAGGATTGGAAGGGAATCATCCACTATGAGCTGCTCCCATTGGACCAATCACTCAATTCGGACCTACACCACAGTATAAGTATACACAGTAGCGACAGTGAGTGTCGGTACCTTTGATGTAGGTGGTCTCAAGTCACGTGGTATACCGCCATGCTGTTAGATGTACAGCCGCGCCACGATTCAAATATACATATTGTATAAAAAAATATTTCTGTTTGATTATAATTCAGAGAATTTATTGAAATAAAAAAATATAAAGAATATTTCTGTGCATGTATACATATATATATATTTCTTTTTGAAAATTAGTTACAATATAAAATATTCAAAATTATTTGTTTTTATTTACTTTTATTTTGTTTTTTTTTGTAATTTATTATAAAAAAAAATTATAAATTATATGTATAAATTATTGAACGTAAAAGCAAATATATAATACGTATAGATCATTGAGCAAAAGCGAAAATACAATATATACATATATACATATATATATATATCATTATAGGCTCAAAAGAGAATATACAATATATAGATCATTGATTGTGAGTGCAAAAACGAATATATAACATATTAATTATTAGGCAAAAGTGAACTAAAAAAAATCTACAATACATTGACCACTGAAAAGCTAATGTAAAATTCAAAAATTGTATAAATGATTTAAAAAATTATAAATAATTAAACAATTTTTTTTTGCAGCTATCTTCTGAATGTCCTTCCAAGTATTCCAGTAGAAAGAATATGTTTTAGGCATCAATGTTACAGGCAACTGAAACAATAATTGATATAATGAAAAATATGTAATATTCACTATTATTATGCTGTATAATAAACTTACATAAATGAATATGTTAAAAATTTATTTCAGTAAATAACACAGTACATAACAGGTTCATTCAACATAATTCAATATATTTAACATAAGAAATAAATATTTATTTAGCAAGCAACAGTTTTTTACATTAATTCAGTTCCAAAAACTGTTGAAAATAATAAGTAACTTGAATCATAAATTTAATAATGTTGAGATCGATTTAAATGTCGGTACTATGAAAACAACTTAATAATTAAACTAAATGATTTAATAATAACTTAATACAAAACTTAATTAATGAGAACACAGACATTTCTATAAAAATATGAAATAATTATAATTATAAACAAAAAAATTTTAATATAATTATAAATATATAAATATAAAAATTTGCATTTATACAGAAAATATAGACTTAAATTTTAATTGTGACATAAGATTATACTTTTTCTATGTCCAAGCTGCGATTTAAAGCGCTTATTAATGAATTTTAACGTGTAAAATAGTCGTACTCGAGCATATAATTTTAATAAATAATTATAAGGAAATTGCTGACACGGATGAATAAATTTAATCTTTAAAAATTGTAATAAGATTACAAATTACATGTTTTTGTAGAATTAATTCCTCAATTTTAGAAAAAAATAAATGTTCTAATGCTTTGATATATTCTACGAAATTATCATTCGGCATTAATAAATTCCCAAAAGGGTTATCTTCGATAGAATTATAAGCCTTAAAAAAGCAGAAATATGATGTTTGATTTAAATCGGTATACGAGCGTGCATATTGCAAACAAATCTCACATGAATGTTTTTGAAGACATTTACGTATTACATATCCACAAACATATCGAAACACATCATGTTCATTAACATCCAGCTCACGATAATCATGGTCATCCAAAAGTATTGGTTCAATAAAATCATCTGTGTTATTGTTTGCTTCAATATCCATACAATTCTCTTTGAAATTTGTAATATTTATTAATATATCAGCATTGTCTCTTTCACAATTCCCAGTTTTATTAGCAGTACAATATTTAATAGAAAAGAATTTTCTAAATGAATAAAAAAACTGAATTGGCGTAGGATTAAAAACATTGCCATTCAATCCTCGAACATCTGAAAAAAAGTGTTCTAAACTATCTTGAGAAAAACGGCGCAATAATAAAAATTTGATTTCTGGATGTATATTTTGCAAATATTCCCACATTTGAAGAAGGGAATTTATATTGTGTATCATGCATTTGAAAACTTTAACTCTATTAGAAATATTAACACCTGTTTTATTAAATATCGTTATTTTAGATAAGTAATCTTTAATTTGTGAAAGAAATTCTATTTGATATTGCGCTCCCTGAAATGCTTGTTTCAATTGTGATGGATGTTGAACACAAGATGAATTAAATAGATCGAAAAAATCATTCATATTGTGCATAAAATCTGCTGTTCTAAGTGCAATTGCGGCATCTGCAGGTTTAAAATCTCCAGAAATAACCATTTTCCTCAAGCCATTAGCAACTGTAGAGCTCAAAATTTGCGTAGCATAGTATACTTTCATTTTTTCGAAATTCGAAAATTTTATATGTTTATCAGTGAGTTTAGGTGCAAGTCGAAACTCCCTGATTTGACCTTGAATATATAAATAATTAATGCATTCCCAAGAAATTGGCTCAGAATCGTATTCAATATTATTATCATGTAAATTATTTCTGTCAGCTTTTGCTATATGAGGTGAATAAAAAAAATGTGAAATCCGCTTATCATTAACAGAAAAAAATGGATCATCTGTCACACTTAAAAATTTAGCAGTTTGTTTAAAATTCCCTCCCATATCAGAGATGAATGCGAGTACTTCTAATCCCGCACTTTGCAATTTTGCAATAGCTTGAGGAATAATAGTTTCTACTTTCTGAGCGGAAAATGTTGAATTAAGAAAGTAGTAAGCCAAAGGTTGTTTCCAATCATTGCAAATTTCTCTGATCATTAAAACTGCAACATTACATGCAGAAAGATGTGATTTGCCATCACCCAAGTCTTCAAACCCAATGACTTTATCCTGACTTATATTATAATATAGATTTGCTTTAATTGATGTTTCATCAATGCATAAAATACAAAATTTATCGAGAGATGATGAAGAAGACTCAAACTTTTTCTTCAAGATATCAAAAACAAAATCATGCAAACCGGAAGCAAATTTCAATTGTTCAATCATGCGTTGTAAAGTTCTGACATTAGGAAGGATAAATTTGTGTGCTAAGGAGTTATAAACTCTAATTCCCCCACAAAACAATAAGCCTAAGCAAAATTTTTTAAATGCAAGCGGATATTTTCGTCCTTTGGCTGACTTACAGTTATTAAGATGCACTTGAATTTTCACCAAATTTGCAATTTCTGGTGGTAGAAATTTATCTGTAGCCTCGCAATATTCATTCGAGGATATTTCCCTCGCAGAAGTTTCTATTTTATTTTTCTGTCGTTCTAGTTGTTGTTTTAATTTCCGAACTTCTCGATGTAACGCAACAATTTTGCCTCTCAAAATTTTTTTGCGTGGAGAATGATTGGAAATTCTTGGCTCTGTTTCAGTGTACTCATCTTTTAATTGTAACACTGATTCTACTTGTTCATGTTACTCATTAATTATGACTTGATGATTGTTAACTGTAATATTAAAAAAATATTAAATTTCAAAACTTAAAATATTGTTTATTATATATTCTTTTTATTATAAAAGAAGGAATACGAACATGTAAATTTTTTAGTAATTGATTTACTGAAATTTTATATTACTAACATGATAATTCTATATTAAACTATACAATAATTTTATACTGAAAATTATTACCTGATACTGATGGTTGACATTCAATCTTGTCTGAACATTCGGTTTTAAAATGTTGCTTCTCATAATTACATTTCATAATGGCGCAATCAACTAAAACATAATAATTATATTCTATATATTTTTTCTTCCAAAGAATTCAAAGTACTTATACCTAATAAGATATTTTCATCATTATTTAAATTAAATATTGTCTTGTTTCCACTTGATAACTCCACACATTCATTATTTTTAGATACAGGAATTGCATGTGCTTGTAATCTGTTTTCTAAATCATTTAAAAACATCGATGATGTAAAATGATCACTACAAACTTTATAATTTGTATATAGTTTTTTTAGTGGCACGTCAATTTTGCGATCACATTTTTCCGACCACAATTTTGCTCTAAAAAATATTTTATATAAAATATATTAATAAAAAATATTTAGTATAATTTAATAAACAATAAACACATTAATAAGAATTATTTTTACCTAACTGGATCTTTTGGGAATCGAAAAAAACTGAGATTAGATTGACGCCCAGAAATATTTTGGCAGCCTTTCATGCTACAACTATATCCTCCTTTCTTCATTTTGCATATGACATTCTGAAAAAAACACAAAAATTATTCCAATCACAAAAAACATGAAGCTATAGAATTAAAAGTTACCTGATGTGACATTCTGAGCGCAGCCATATTGTTAGATGTACGAACTCGCGCATGCGCACTAAAATTTGATACCGGGTCGGATGGCTCACTGTCGCTACTGTGTATACTTATACTGTGCCTACACTGTCAACAACTGACCAGATTGAAGCAGGCGATCGACGAGAAGCGACCAGAATTGGCCAATAGGAAGGGTGTTGTGTTCCATCAAGACAATGCCAGGCCGCACACATCTTTGACAACGCGCCAGAAGCTCCGAGAGCTTGGATGGGAGGTTATATCGTACTCGCCGTATAGCCCAGACCTGGCTCCAAGCGATTATCACCTTTTCAAGCATTTGCAAAATTTTCTTGATGGTACAAAACTGGCCTCAAGAGAGGTTTGTGAAAATGAGCTGGTCAAGGTTTTTACCGATAGGGACGAGGACTTCTTCAATCGCGGAATTATGAAATTGCCTTCAAAATGGACAAAAGTTATCGAACAAAACGGCGCACATTTGATCTAAATCCGATAATCCTAACTTTGTTAATTTCATTGTCGAAATAAAGAGAAAAAACGCTCAGAACTTTTTACTTCACCCAATATGTGCAACATAGCCGGCAATATACAATAGCGCATTTCGTTCAATTATTGGGGACTTGAATAAGTTC